ATGCTGACTGACCAGCAAGCTCCTTGGTTTACCCTTTCTCTGTACTCAAAGTGCTTATAAGTGCTTGGCCAACAGCTCAGGCTTGCTACTAGCTAACTCTTACATTTTTGATGAACCCATATTTTTATCTAACACTTTGTAACATGGCTTGTTACCTTTTCTCAGTATGGTATGTCCATCTTGCTTCTCTCTGCATCTGCTTGGGCCTCCCTCTCTCCACCGTTTTTCTTCCTAGCATTCTCAGTTTGGCTCTACTCTTATCTTGTCCAGCTTTTGTCCAATCAGCTTCTTTATTAATCCAGTCACAGTGACATTTACTTACACAGTGTATAGGAGTATTCCACACAGCTTTTCTTTTTCTTTTCTTTCTTTCTTTCCTTTTTATTTATTTTTTTATGGGATCTGGTGATTTGAACTCCTGCTTATGTGGCAAGTATTTTTACCCACCAATCCATCTACCCAGCACCAAAATACATTGCCCGAACCATTTCACTTCTTTCTGTTTGATTTTTATGAAATGTAGCCACTAGAAACTTCTAAATTACATTTGTTGCTGACATTGCATTTCTGTTGGATAATAGTATTCTAAAATTATTGTGCACAAAATTTCAAAAGACAGCTAGTCCCCCACACGGGGCTTATGGGTAGAATCTTCCCTTCATCATCATATTAACTCTGTTGTACTCTTCAGGTTGGTGCATAATTTAACACTTATGAAATTGGTTGATATTAGTAAATAACTTGCCATCATATTCTGCTTCATCATGACTGTTACTATTGATCCTAGGCTTTGGTTTTGGAACGTTTCGTGAACATCAGAGATACCTTTTGCTCCCTTTGACTTATATTCCCTCAACAGCACACATATCCACACATATGCTCACATCCTCCATCTCTGTAATATTGTGGTCAGCACATATTGTTTAGGTCTAGACTCAGTGTGTGCTATCATGACTATCAATGTTAGTTATAACTGAGCTGTGTGTTAAGTACTCTTTTTTTCTTGTTGGCACAGGTCTTGTTTATGCTAGAATCAGCAATTGCTTGTTACACAGTTGCTCGGATTTCCAGGAGCCTTTCCTAATTCAGTGCCATGTTCTTCACTGTTTGTCTGAAATTCATCTCCATGTGCATGGATCAGACAGGATGTCCTATTCTTGGAGCCCCAAGACCTGCCTGCCTCTTGCAGTGGCTCCCCCTTATATGTTCAGTATTCATACAGGAATCTGCTTTCAGAATCCTTAGCTTGCTTCAGCTTTCTCTCTTGGTTTTCCATTTCTTGCTTCTTCCTCTTTCTTGGTTAATTTCCTCATTTGGGCAAAGTATATCTTAGTGTTTCCTGTGAAAGAGTACATGAGCCACAGCAATTTTTAAAGACCTTGCATGTCTAAATAGATTTTATATCCTTATGTTTAAATGCAGTTGGAAGTTGGAAAGAATTCAGGACATTGAAGATATTTCTCCCTTGTTTTAGAGCTTCCAGGGCTGGTGTGGACAATTTGGATCAAATTCTGGCACCTAATTAATTCTTTGTATTCTATATCCTAGTCCTGATGATTTTTTTTCTTTCTACTTAAAATGTCACTATAAAATATAGCATTGTCATCTTAGTTTTATGTGCTAAGCTACCCTGTACTGGCTCTTTAATTCTCTCTTTTCTTTTCATTGTTTTCATTTTTGTTGGTTTCTGAGACATTTACTTGACTGTCCCACCCTTCCAGTGATTTTATTTTTATTTTACCTGGCATAGTTTTAGTTTGTTGTTTTCTGAAAGTTAGCTCTCATTTAGAAAGTTTTTGTTTGGCTTGATTTTCTTTCATGATAGGATCAGGGTGAATGATTTCTAGTTCATGTTTGAGCTGGAACATTAAAATGACTAGAATCTCTGAGTATCATGGTTGTAGACTTCATTTTAGTACCACCTGTCTAGGCTGCTTCCTTGAGAACCTCAGATGCCTATATTTTTAGACCCCAAGTTTTATGTCAGCCCACTTCCCCAAATTTGTCTTGATTTGGATCATCTAGGTAGGATAGAGATACATGTGAACTTAGAAGGCCTCCACTCCCTCTGTGCTTGTGATTTTCCAGACTAGAGATCCTTGGATTGGATTAAAAGATTGTTTTTCTTTGTGAACACTTCGTGTTGTTTTTGTTTTGATTTTATCCATCCCTGAAGATACAAACTGGCATTTTAGTGTGGTTTTAGTTTGTATTTCCTTGATGGCTGATGATGGTAAACATAGTTTCATGTTTCATGTCTGTAATTGACAGTTTTTAAATCTTCTTTAAAGAAATGTTTAAGTCCTTTGCCCATTTTAAAACTGTGTACTCTCTCTCTCTCTCTCTCTCTCTCTCTCTCTATATATATATATATATATATATATAATATCAGACAGATCATAAGCACATTTTTTTTCTCATTCTGTGAGTTTGTACTGGCTAGTTTCAAGCAGATGGCTCAGCTGGTAAAGTAATTGATGTGTAGACATAATGACTTTAGTTTGAATCTTAGGTTCTATCATAAAAACAGGGTGTAGTGGTGACAACGTCTGTAATCCCAGTGCTGGGGAGGCAGACATACATAGATGTTTAAAGCTCATTGGTCTAAGATAGTTGAATCAGTTAACTCCAGGTCAGTGAACATTCAAAAGATAAGGAAAGGAGGGATTAGTGGAGACTCCCTGCAAGATTTCTGGCCTCCATACTCATATGCCTACATGTTGGTTTTTTAACTCTTTGGGGGCCAGCCACCCAGTTCCCAAATAAATACACACAGACTTATTCCTACTTACAAATGCCAGGCCTTGGCTTGTTTCTGGCCAGCTTTTCTAACATTTTTGCCTCTGGGCTTTTTACCTTTTTTTAATTCTATATATCTTTCCTTGTTACTCCATGGCTGGCTGTGTGGCTGTGTGACTGGCCCCTGGTGTCCTCCTCTCTTTCTCCTTTTCTCAATCCTGCCTCTTCTCTCCAGCATAGATTTCTCCTCCTATTTATTCTTTCTGCCTGGCAGCCCCAACTGACTACCTCTCTCTTCTACCTAGTTATTGGCTATTCAGCTCTTTATTAGACCAATCAGGTTTTTGAGGCAGGCAAAGTAACACAGCCTTACAGAGTTAAATGAATGCAACATAAACAAACTAAACACATCTTTGCACCATTAAACAAATATTCCACATCATAAATGAATGTAACACATCTTTAACTAATATTCCACAACACCCAGAAGTGCATGTTCACATACATGCACAAACCCACAGAAGTGAGGACACACAGCACACATGAAGATCAACTATAAAACGTCAAAATAAATAAAAAAAAATTTTGGCTAAGTGAATGGTCATGAAAATTTATATTTATGTTTTCTCCTAAGAGTTTTATAGTTTTATAGTTTTAGCTCTTTGATTTAATTTTTGTATGAAGTGTGATAGAAGGGACAAAGTATATTGCTCTCTGCATGTTGTCACACCACCAGTTGTTGAAGAATTCCTTCCCCATCAAATTGTTTTGACACCTTTACTGAAAATCGTGTGGCCATAAGTAAGGATCTAAGTTTTTTTTTTTTATTTTATTCTGTTGATCTGTATGTACATTTTAATGCAAGTACCATGTTATGTTGATTGCTTCAAGTTCGTATTAAGTTTCTAAATGGGGAAACACAAGCCTTCTGTATTGTTTTTCAAGATTGTTTTGTGTGCTCATATACCTTGTATTTTCATATTTTAGGATTTGCTTTCAGTTTCTTTAGAGAAGTGAGTTGGGATTGGCTACGGATTGCATTGAATTGGTAGAATCAGTGTGGGGGGATATTGCTATCTTAGTGGTATTAAGTGTTCCAGTCCTTGAGTGTAAACATGAGGTATATTGCTGTTTACATAGGCTTATTATTCTTTGACTTGTGGTACTGGTGAATGACAGTAGGGACTTGCTCATGCTAGACAAGCACTCTGTCCCTGAGCTAATTTGCTTATCCCAGTCTTTAATTTCTTTCAATAATGTTTTATAGTGTTTAATGTACAAATATTGTATTGCTTTAATTATATTTCTTCCTTCATATTCTCTTTCTGCTATCAGAAATGGAATTATTTTATTAATTTCACCTTTAGTATTGTTCTTTACTGGCATACCAAAATACAGTGGCTTTTAAAACAATGATCCAATTATCCCACCAGCTCTTCCAAAATTGTTTACTAATTGTAATAGATTCTTTGTGTATGTGTGTGTAAGAAATAGGACAGGAGGGAGGGAGACAGATGAGAGGAAAAAGAGGAAGAGAGAGGGAGAATTTTCTGTATGCAAAAGCATGTTATTTGTGAATAAAGTAGTATGATCTCTTCCTTTTCTGGATACCTATTTCTTTTCCTTGTCTGTTTGCTCTCTAGTACAGTTTTGAATAAAAGTGGCAAGAGAAGACATTGCCCTTTGCTCATCTTAGTGGGAGGAAATGTTTACTCATCATGTATGATTTATGGGATTTTCTCTTTAAAAGTATATTATTAATTATTATTGTTTGGTTGTGTGTGTGTGTGTGTGTGTGTGTGTGTGTGAGAGAGAGAGAGAGAGAGAGAGAGAGAGAGAGAGAGAGAGAGAGAGTTCATGTACCTACCACAAATGTTTGAAGGCCAGAGGGCAACTTTTAGGAGTTGGTTCTCTCCTTTTATTGAGGATTCTGGGAATAAAATTCTATGATTATATGGTATATTTTATTGCTTACTTTTCAGATGTTAAGCCACCTTTGTTTGAGTGAACTGGGGTAAATGCCAGTTGATTATAAACATTTGGTGGAGTACTGTAGGGAAGCTATCCATGCTTGTACATTTGCTTCTGGTCGGGTTTTAGGTTGTGGTGTTAGCATAATATTGTAGTTAAGGACAATTAGAATTAAAATTTTATCTCATACTGCTTAGTAATGTTTTATTAAGCCAGCTCTTTCATACGACATCCCCCCAAACATATATTTTGATATATCTAACTCTATCTTTCTTTTTTCTTCTTTGCAGGTTCTGTAGCACGTAGCTTGTTCAGAAATGGCATCTAAGAAATTTGCCATTAAAGTAAGTAATGCTCAGCAGCTGCCTTTAAAAGGTCACTCACTTTCTTATGCCTGTGTTCTGTGCTAATTAAAAGTTGAAATTCGTAAGTTGATCTCTACTTTTAAATTTAGAAATTATGGAAATTTTAAGTTAGTCAACATCAAAATTTTAAGAAGAGATGAGTAGGAAACTAATAATTTTTTAAAAGGAATTCTTCGTTTAAAATCCTTTGGGTAGGATCCTTTTGTCCCGAATGCTAATAATAATCATTCACTTTGCATGTCCATGGCATGACTTCTGAGGGTGACAAAATGGGCCAAAGTCAAAGGAGTGGGGCAAGCTGTTGTATCTGGGTGTATGCTGAGAGAGCACTCCAGCTTGCCTGCTTGCCTGCTGCCTCCTGAGCTTTCATTGTCAGCTTTTCAGAGTGGAGTCATCTGAGGAAGGCCTCTGTGAGGAGTTGCTTAGAGTGATTGGAGGGCAGTGGGATTGTCTGATTTATTTATGGTTAAAGGGAGGCCCAGCCCACTGTGGGCAGCTGTCTGTGGTCCTGGCAGGTGGTTCTGGCCTAGCAAATCGAGGTAAGAAGTGAGGTAAGCATGAACATGTGAGTAAGCCCTTGAGAAAACTAATGGGTGAGATAGCTAGGGGTGTTCTTCCATTGTTTCTACTTCAAGCTCCTGCCTTGAGTTCAGGCCCCGGCTTCCCTCACTGATGGGCTGTGATCCTGAGTTGTAAAGCTAAAATAAATGTTTCCTCTCCCAAGTTGCTTTTGGACAATGTGTTATCACAGCAACAGAAAGGAAACCAGAACATCTGACTTTTTTCATTTTTCTCTTATAATTCACCTTCTCTATGCATTGATGGTAGATCTGAGAGCTTCTGAGATACAGAGTGATAAAGGGTTCTGTGTGAGGAAGGTCAGGGGAAGACTTGATAAATACCTTGTGTGAGATCTTGGAGACACTGTCATGTATGTTGGATGTACCCCTGGTCAGTTCTGTGTAACACTGTCATTATCTTCCATAGCAATTAAAAACACCAAAGCAGGGCCAGTGATGTGGCTCAGCAGGTAAAGGCACTTGGCACAAAGCCTGATTATCTGGGTTTGATCCCCAGTTGTATTCCTGAGACCCACATGGTAGCAGGAGAGAACCAATTCCTGCAAGTTGTCCAGTCACCTGCCTTCCACAAACACACACATAAACACACACACACAAATACATGTAAAAATCGAAGCCATTGAAGAAAACTCTTAAAAGTTGTGATAGGGAAGTTGAAGTGTAGCTCTTCACAGATGATAGCTTCTAACAAGGGTGGGGAAGGCAGGCCTCTGAGTGTTTGACCATGCGCCACTGAGTATATGGGCAACACAGTTGGACTTGATATATATTTTTTCTTTTCTTCTTTTGTTTTTGGGATGGTTAAGTGAATGTGATCAGCTTGATTATGTGAAACTTCCAAATAATCAATAAAAATATTATGTTAATAAAAAAGCTCAAATTCCAGTATTTGGTTAATCAGATTATGAAAAGTTACCATGACATTTTGTCTCATGCTTAGTGCTTATTTAGTTTGCAAATGTATTTATAAATCTCATTGTTTATAATTACTTCTGGTATGCGTATACTCTTGAGTGTTTCTTTCAATAAGGCTGTCTAGGTGGGGAACATTCACTATTTGCCTATAAAAATGTATTTTGGCCTTTATCTGGATTTCTGGAATCTAGAATGATATTAAATAGATTTTAGAATGCTAGTTTAAAAATTGTTCTAGTATGTAGCAAGATTCTGTCTCAATAAACAAAAGTAAATAAAATTATCTGGTGATGTACTCCTTTAATCCCAGCACTCAGGAGGGAGAGGCAGGTGGATGGATATCTGTTAGTTTAAAGCCATCCTAGTCTACATAGTAAGACCATGTGGTGGGGATAAGGGAAGGAGGGAGGGAGAGACACACATACACAGAGAGAGGGAGGTTGAGATTACTGGCTTAAAATAATAATTTAAAAATAATCTCCTGTTACTTTCCTGACTTTGTATAGGTGGTTTCTACTTTTGATATTAGCTGGGACTGCAGTTATTTAGGGACTCATTTTAGGTGAAACATCAAGGGTGGCATCTTCATATGGCTGGCAGTCATTGTTGTTTGTCCTTTTTTTTTTTCAAGCTCCCTGGTGTTGGCTTTTGCATTTCCTAGCATAGTGTCTAAGTACAGAGGCCCTAAACAAGAGTTATAAATAGCAGTGTAAGTTGCTCACCCTCAGAGGCCTAGATGTAAAGCTCAACTATCACACCTGTTGCATTATTTGGTCAGAACAAGGACCAGCCCAGGGGAGGGAAGCTGCCTGGGTGGCAAGATGTTGGGTTCACCAGAGTCTAGTTGTCAAAGAAGTCTCTTGACAGCCTAGTATGATCGATCTCTTTCTTGATAGCCAATAGGACCAATGCTTTTCTTTGTTATCTGCCCTTTGTCTCTGCTGGCTCTGAAGATTTTATTTTTGTTTTTGATATTCTACAGTTTAATTCTAGGCAAATTTCTAGGCATCGATTTCTCTGTCTTGGAATGCAGTGTAATACAATCGGTTTTGGAAAATTCTCATCCATTTTCCCACCAGGGGCTGCATGTCCTAATTGACTCTGTTCTCCTCTTTACAACTTACATTTGAAGTTTGCTGGGTAAAGCCATGACTTGCTTACAGATTGGAAGAAGGATCTGTACCATAGGAAGCTCTTTGCTCTGAAGTGGACCAGCCTCTTTGCCGAGTTCATCAGAAGCTTTCTGAGGCTCAGGGAGACACCTAATATTGGTCAGCTGTGGCATGTCAGCCCCAGAGCTTTCCTTCTTTCAGAGATTCTATGCTGACCCCCATGCTGTGCACACTGACACAGCTGACTTTGCTACCGTATTATCCCATCTCCAGCTGTGTCTGAATGTCTTGGAACCCAGCTTCCAGGTTCAGGGGTGTTACCACAAACATGAATTTCAGGCTTTCAGGCTAGCTATAGAAACTGGTCCAACCCATGGGGATCACGTTCCTGCTGCCTCTCATCACATGGTCAGGGAAGTAGTTCCCTAATGGTGGAGTTTAGCAGCTCACAGCACTTTGCCTTAGGTTTCTTTCCTAAGTGTCAAACATAGAGCCCTGGTAAATGGCTTTTCTCTGCTCTAGGGTGTCATGCCATCGGTGCTGTCACCACATGCCTTCTGCAATGCACAGGTGTGTATGTTGTATAGCCATTGACTTTCCCTTCCTGTTAGCTAAATGCTTCATTCAGAGTGCCCCTCCCCCCTTTCCAGCCTAATTATCAGCTCTTCATTCCAAAGTGCTCTTTTGTGAGGTTTCTTCCATTTAATCAATGTCTTTTCATCTGTATGTAATGTATAGGTGAACATACTATAGGGTGGGAAAGGTCAAGCCAAAATGTGTTAGTTGAAAAGAATAATAGCTGCTACAGTTACGATTTTTTAATTTAATTTTTTTCTTTTTTTTAAAAATTCAAATTCTATTGGTTCTTTCTTATATGCTTGCCCAATTTTAAAACGATTTTATTTTCTCATTTAACCATCTTACTATAGTAATTCTACAGTAATTTATTTATAATTGTCTATAAGTTTTTCTGTTATTTCCAATATTACCTACCAAGTATGAAATACATTGGTCACTAAAATTGTTGCATTGTTTGTATGACATTAACTTTGAATTTTGTATTTTGAGATGAGGCTTTGCTATACTACCCAGGCTGACCGAAAACTCATGATCTTCTTGCCTCAGCCTCAGAAGTGCTGATATATGTTTTTTTTATATTATATATAGCATTCTACACATGGATTCATATATATGTACCCCAACATAGGTGGGTAGAAAGATGTGCTCTGAAGAGCAGTTGAGTGATTTTAACTTTATGTCTGTTGAGGCCATTGACATTTTGTTCCTTGTAGACCAGATTTACTCTCATGGCTTAGGGTTCTACTAACCTGTGGACAGTATACATTTAGAACTCACAACAGAGGTGGGTAGGAGGTTTTATTTTTATTTTATTCTTATTTTCCAGATACTTTATTTCCTTGCTGATTTTCCTCCCTTCCCTGTTTCCAAGGTTCTAGATGGATGGAACTGCTGCTTTCACTGGTCCCTTCTAGGTATAAAGAAGAACAGTCTTAGTTACATTTCACAAATGTCAGTCACTGTTTCTCAAAGGAATGAATTGCTCTGGCCCCAGAAAACTTGTTTCTTTGGTTATAGACAAACTGGGCTTAAAAGTATTACTTAATGATGTCTACAGATTGAGGACTCCTGTGCTGAATTATGTGATGGAAGGATACACAGGTCTACACAGAAGAATTTTTCTTAATTCTAGGCTCAGTGGAGGTGGCTTCAGTTCTAAGTCCCTCTTCTTGTCAGTGACCCTAGGACATTATGAGTCCAGCTCTCCACCTTCCCCAGTCTTCCGTCCTGGTTCTAGATATCCTGACAGCCAGGCTTGACCCGCATAAAGTCATGGTTATTGATAGTGCTTTGGGGTTTGTTGCTTTTACTATTCTTTTCAGATAACCACCTTGGCTTGACCTTTTCCTGTCTACAGTGAGCTTGTTTCTGTTTCTTCAGTTTCTTATCTATTCTTTCTTTCCTTTACTTAGGTATATTTTCTCTTCCTTTCCCGAGTTCTTTTTTTTTTAAATTTAAATTAGAAACCAGCTTCTTTTACATGTCAATCTCAGTTCCCTCTCCCTCCCCTCCTCCCCTGCTCCCCACTGACCCCCTTATCCCAACCTCTTTCTGCTCCTCAGGGAGGGTGAGGATCTTCAATGTCTATCATTTGGAGTAGGGCCTAGACCCTCCCCTGTGAAAGTATCTCTCTGTGAGGAGAGGGCTCCCAAGTTCATTTGTGTACTAGGGATAAATACTGATCCACTTCCAGTGGCCCCGTAGATTGTCCAGATTTCCAAATTGACTTCCTCCTTCAGGGGGTCTGGAACAGTCCTAGGCTGGTTTCCCAGCTATCAGTCTTGTTCAGGTC